GGCTCCCACGCTCCCTGCCGGCTGCTTACATCTTTGAGCGTCCAGCTTCCGGGTATCGAGCGCCGGCTGCTTTCATTGACCAGGTTTATATGACGTCACTGATGCACATGCGTAAGAATTCATTTGGCTTCAGTGCTGCAAAATCTTTACAGGGAGCTGCGCATACGCAGCTCACTGTACAGGGACAGGCAGGGAGGTAGGTACGTTTAATGCAGAACAGACAAAGCATGTCTCTTCTACATAAAAATCCTCGGAAATGAAAGTAATTACATTTTACCAGAACTGGGTCACTAATAAAGGAAAATTAAGTCCTGATTGACTCCAGTTTCCAAGCTACAGCTGCAGGTCATCAAAATAATTCACAGTTATGAGGGGGGGGGTGCAATTATGCTCCATAACTTTTCTGCAAAATGTGATATACCAATTGGTGCCACACCAATCATTTTAAATGTATCTTTTCATTGATGCCAATAACATAACTTTCCATTCATTTACTGGTTGTTCATGTAACATTTTTCATGCTTTTTTCTGACATCACTCCGCAAGAGGTTCCACTGTTGTAATCTGGAGCCCAGTAGCTCTGCCTTACTCTAAGGCAATTCCAAATCCCTGACCAGGTCTTTTTTGTTCACTTTTTGACATTAGATGTGGTTCAGGAGGCGCATACAGTAGGCTAAAGTTTAGGTCCACTGACATTGATGGCCCCGGATCAGCTGCAACTTGCTCATCATCTTTATAATCATCTGAGTCTAAAGAGTAGGATTCTGGTGGATCTGGAATTGACAAGTCATCACCATGGGGCACAGGATGCATTCCGGATGGAATGTTTGGATATTCCACAGTCCACTTCTTTCTTGTGATCCCTTTTGCAACTGGGGGAACCATGCAAAAATAGCAACTGCTACTATGATTGGCGGGTTCTCTCCACTCCATTTGGGACTGCGAAAGGCATGGACTTTTTCTTTTTGCTTAGCCAATGATGCAGATAAGTTGCACATGTAATGCAACAATAATAATGGGCCAAACTCTTGTCCTGCTGACAATTCCATCATACTACACTTTTGACATGCAAATGTAACCTCACCACAACTGTAGCAGAACTTATCTGCATTGTTTACACAGTTTCAAGGCATATTGGCTTCTGAGGGAAAATACAGTATCAAGCAACTGTTCCTTGAAAATGTTAGGCAATGATACTTTCACAAGCCACCAGATGTAGCTGTATGATGTGTAGATCTGACCAAGACAAATGTACTTTGCAATGAAAGAACAGTAAATTACAGATAAGAAGATACATTTATACACTTCCATGTGGTACCATTTTCATTGTTCTACTGTACTTTGTCGAGAAGTTATGAGGCATCATGATCATCAGACTCCTCCCTCCCTTGTAGGCAAATATACTCGCCTGTGTATAAATCTTTACTGTGAAACAACTTGAAACTTTATCCAATCAGCCCCTTTATCACCTGTTTTCTAATTCATCCAATCAAAAAAATATGTAAGAATTAGCACATTTTATCTCAGAGGTCGATAATTTCCCAAAATTTGAAGACCAGTGAAAGAAGGTTGTAGGTACAACTCAGATATTTTAATTGCCACATATTTGCATAAACCCTAGTAGTGCATGTATAGATAAGCCCAGGTTCAGATGAACCATCTAAAACCCACCTTTTTGCACACAGGTACATGGATAAAAAAAAAATGAAAATTGCTAAGGGGATGAGATGGGGTTCTCAATTACGAAAAACGAAGTAAGAGCAAAATACTTCCCTGAAGCAGGAGCAGTTCTGCTTTCCTACTGGGTGACCTTAAGGAAGGGTGTATATAAATTATTTAGTTAACCTGCTAAAAACCACAAAGAAGAAACTGCATAGGCTGCAGGAGTTCCAGGTACAATTGGACATCATATAATTCCATAATGGCAGAGTGATCATTTTCCTATTCCAGGATGAATGAAGAATGCCTTTCAAGGTGTGAGGCCAAGTATTCAAGCTGTGAAACTGCAGTGTTCCACTGATGTCAAGCTTTGTGACTGGATTCCTTCATAAAACATTGGCAAACCTCCCTACACACAAACATGGAAGCAGTTTTCAGGACAGTCATTTAAATCTGTCATCTTTTTGGCTGGTATTCCAAGCAGTTCAAGCAACTTCAGTAGTTCAAATTACAGCAGCATTTACATCTGTGATGGTTCACTGCACAAGCCTGGCTAATGTTAAAGATAAATTCAACCCAGAGGAGGTAACCTGCATAGAAGCCCCCACCTTACTAAGGTAAGTGAGCATCTATGTAGTGGGGTTCCAAGTTAAATTTGATTGAGAGGTAGATCTTGAACACAAGAGGGTCTAGCTTGCTAGATTTATATATGCCTATTTTTTAACAGCTATTAACTTAATAATTGGATCATGTCTGATGATTCCAATGCTGCTGTAGTGCTATAAGCAGTGTATTCAGGTTCATATGAAACTTTGCAAAAACCTTTATATAGGGGCCGTCGTGCCCCTTCCCTCTTTTACTATCTTCTATGAAATCAGTGATCAATGAAAGCAAGTAAACTGTATTAAAAACCCTGCTTCCTCCAACTTCTGGTGTCCACTTACCCCTATATGGTTTAATCCTAGACTATCAGAGTTTTATCCCGATTCCCTCTAGGGAATCAAAACACTCAATCACATTTGCGCAGGGGCCACCTTGAAGACCTTTGACAGGATGAAACTTCAGTTTGGTCTTCCCAATTCCTTTTTCTTCAGGTGTTTGTAGATCCGCCACACCTATTAGTCTCTGTTTGGCATCTCTCAGTTGCACTTTATTCTGGATGAGTTGGAATCTCTCCTATGTGATGGCTCTTTGAATAAAATTATCTGAAATTTAAAAAACCTCGTATGTCCTCGGTTCATGAGGGGTTGGAGCATCTTCAGAATCGATAGCGTGCGGAGGTGCTGAGCCTGGATGGCGAGGATTGGGAAGACACTTGAGAGTATCCCTCGCTTAATCTGGTCACAGTTAGAGACTGGTCAATCCAGTTTTAAAAATCAACATGGAATTTATCTGACACCACAACACTTACATAATATATCCTTGGGTCCGCTCTCAATGTTGGAGATGTGTGAGTGGCCAAGCTAATTTTCTACACATGTTCTGGAAGTGCTCAAGTATCTATGATTTTTGGTCTAGGGTAACCAAATTTGTGCATGGTTTAACTACGATATCCACTCAAATGGCAGTTGATGTATGTATACTGGGATTGGTAAACCCATTGGCATTTAAATGTGCTACCATTTCTTGGTTTGATGTTATTTTACGCCAGGAAGGCCATAGTGTTAAGATGGAAGTCTGATCAAGCCCTTACCTTAAATTTTTGGAAGACCCTGATCAATTCTGTAGTCTCGCTCTACTGAACAACTTACCTTTCATGAGCATGCCCCAAAAAATGTAATAAAGTCTGGGACCTGTGCGTCAACTCAGAAACTACAGTTGGGGCCATCGCTATTTTCTTGGTGGGTGGCTCATGCCCAGTAGCTCCTTGATTATCAGTATTGCCGCCTGACGATTTCAGAGGGGAAGGTACTTCCTATGTTTCTTCTGTTTGGGCCTCACTAACTGCTGCCAGAAGGGTACCCCTATCCTTTACAGTGGGGAAGAAGTGCTTCTAATCTTTCCTGAGTATATGGTATGGAACTCTAGTTAAGACTGTGTCTCCTGTTGACCACCTCTTGTGATGCTGAGCATTAGTTACTTGTATTGTGAGTAGTTAAGTTCAGTTGTAAAACTTATGTATAATGCACATTGTTTTGTTTGTTTTGAGTCAGGGTATGTCCAAACACTCTGTTTTATAACTATTTGAAACTATTATATACCAATAAGAATTTAAAAAAAATGATTAGAGGGCCAAAGAGATAGGATAATGTATTTTACACTGAAAGAGAAATTGTCCTTTAAGGAGAGTTAAATGCTGTGAGGCCCAACCTACCTATGCCGGGCCTCTGTCTTCCTCCTTGTTTACTATTTGGGTTATGCAGGCCTTGAAATGACTATTTCTGGGAAACAAGCTTACATTAAAACATGTCTGTCACAAGCATTAAACATAAAATAGCAGGTAACTGTAAAGAAAAGAAAAAATACGTATCACTTCTTCAGAATGCACAATCAAGCAGAATCAAGCAGTGTTCGATTAAAGAGAGAAATCACTGTATACAGTTTGTTCTAACATTTCGGGAATGTTGTTCTCCTGTGTCTCCAACTGCTCTTAGTGGTAACTCTTGCTGACCCCAACATCACCAGAGGATACATTAGTCACGTTGGAGTCGACAGAAGATACCACCGAGTGCTGTGGGGGACACAGGGGATCAACACTCCCAAAAGTGTCTGTTTCAGAAGAACTTTAAGAAGGAACTTAATTCCTCTTCATTGGAGTAGTGTTTGGTGGTACAGTCCTGCAGGAGTACTCTTTTGTGTACATTTACAGTACATCTATTTTTTTTAGTTACCGTATTTGCCGGCGTATAAGACGACTTTTTGACCCTTGAAAATCTTCTCAAAAGTCGGGGGTCGTCTTATACGCCTGTACAACATGTTAGGGGGGCTGCGGCATTAAGTACAGGGGTTTGCAGGGGCTGATGTCTCTTACCTGGATCCAGTCCCACGACGATCCGGTCCAGGAAGCGCGGCGTCTCCTTCAGTTCGGCCACTGGATGTTCGTGCGGCTGCTCGGCTCCGCCTCCTCACCGGTGATTGGCCGCCAGAACTGTAGCTCAGAAAGGCACACAGGCGGCCAATCACCGGCGAGGGGGCGGAGCCGAGCGGCCCCCGCGAAAATTGAGTGCCGGAGCAGCAGGTAAGTGTTCTGTGTAGAGGTGCTGCTGCAACCACATATGCTGGCTGCAGCAGCACCATACGAGAACAGGGTCAGCAAGTCTCAGTGGGAGGAATAGTGCTTCCCCATCATTGGTGTCACTGATACCAATGATGGGGCACTATTCCTCCCACTGATACCAACGATGGGGCACTATTCCTCCCACGACACCACCAACGATGGGGCACTATTCTCTCCCCCCCACTGACACCAACGATGGGGCACTATTCCCCCCCCCACTGACACCTGGAACGATGGGGCACTATTCCACCCCCCACTGACACCAATGATGGGGCACTATTCCACCCCTCACTGACACCAATGATGGGGCACCATTCCTCCCACTGACACCAATGATGGGGCACTATTCCTGCCACTGATACCAATGATGGGGCACCATTCCTGCCACTGATACCAATGATGGGGCACCTATTCCCCCCCACTGATACCAATGATGGGGCACTATTCCTCCCCACTGATACCAATGATGGGGCACTATTCCTGCCACTGATACCAATGATGGGCACTATTCCTCCCACTGACACCAATGATGGGGCACAATTCCTCCACTGATACTAAATGATAGGGCACTTCCTGCCACTAATGCCAATGATGGGGCACTATTCCTGCCACTAGGTTACCAATGATGGGGCACTATTGCCTCCCACTGACATCAAGCACTATATCCTCCCCACTGAAAGATACCAATGATGGGGCACTATTCCTCCCACTGATACCAATAATGGGGCACTATTCCTTCCACTGATACCAATGATGGGGCACTATTCCTCCCACTGACACCAATGATGGGGCACTATTCCTCCCACTGACATCAATGAGCAATTCCTGACCCCCCACAGGTGTGCATTGGAAAGGGGTAGTCTTATGTATAGCCCAAACACTACATTTTAGCAGGAAAAGTAGGGGGTCGTCTTATACGCCCAGGAGTACTCTTTACGTACATGTACAGTACATCTAAGGTAGTTAGTTTTTTGTGACAATGTCACTTTAAAACTACCAATCTTACCATCATAGTGCCTCCCAACTCCACAATGCAACAGAGAAATCTCTCCAAAGATCCTACCAAACCTTCAGTATGTTGATAAACATTTGACAAGGCAATTTCACAGGTGACTGTGCCTAGCACCAGGTCACTGAGGTACCAAGCACTGCACTATGGAGTTGCATTTGTTCATCTCTAGTTTCGATTCTTTTACAGGATTTCTATGGCACACTGGGGTGATAGACAGCACTGTAAAGGTAAAAAGAGGCATCACAATTGTTCATATTCAATATTAGATTTCTTCCTAAGAAGCCGTTACTGATTTACTTTAAGGTTCAGTATTACCACTTATTACCACTCAGTTGAGGTATCTACAGCTCCTGCCAGGCCTGGATCATATAACATAAGCAGAACAGGACTGATGGTAAACTGAAGTCCAGCTAATACCCAGAATACACTTTGGTCATCAAAGCAGTACACAGTGAAATATATGTCAATGGAAAAGGCAGTTCTTGATAAATGCCCCAAACAACTATTACAGAGCACTGAGCTATTTGGCACACACAGTTGCTGAGAGAGGAACCGAAGTGTGGAACAAACAATGGAAGAGCCTTGTTATCACTATTAACCAGCTGGGAAGTTGAAAGCTCAGGGGATAAAATATGAACTTAGCTGCAAACAAACACATCTTTCTTCTGTCCTAGAATATCAGAATTGTGTGCTGCACAGGTTCATTAATATGAACTGTATTGTCTACTTCTGTTTGCTTATCTCACTCTCCGGAATTCGAAGTCTCAGAATGCCTAATTGACATCAAATGATCGCATGCAATTGTTTCCATCCAAATAAACATGAAGATAACCATTTACGCCTGGTACACACTAAGTTTTTTGCTGCTGGGTTGAACAAAAAAACTGAGGAGCTCAGGAGAAGGTCGCTATACTAGCGATGCGATTTTAGTACAGCAATCTCCCCACTACTTACTGTATTCTGATAAGGGGACTGCCCCCCCATCCTCGCCAGAACACACTGGGCAGGGCTGGTAGCCATTGGCTGAGAGTACTGATCGGATGCTGACTGGCTGCTGGTTTTACAGCAAGCTCATTCGATAGAAGCTGGCCATCAGATCTGCTTCTGTCAAACAAGGACCCATACACAAGGGCCAAATGTCGGCTGGTATCTACGGTATCGGCTGATTTTGCCCAATATTTAGCCCGTGTGTACGGGGATTTAATGATGGGTTACACTGAAGAGTCTGTTAGCTTAGTATAGTTAGCTTTGGGAAAGCTAACTATACACGCAAAAATGTATTTCGTTCATAATAAATCGAATAGATTCCTCCATTCATACTAAAGAAAGTAGATGGAGGCATATACTCTGCTACTGAATACCTGAAGTCACATTTTTGTTAAAATGGGTGATGCGCACAGGGCCACCCATGGCTCAAATTTTGGCTGATTCAGCAGAATTTGGTCAAAATTTGAGTTGTGTATGGCCAGCCTAAGAGCTCAGTTACAGTAGCAGCAAAGACTGGAACTCAGCTGAAAAGTAGGGTCACTCGGATTGCTTTTCCGAGGCATTTGACAGGCAGTGAGGAGGCAACATATATGTTAACTGTCTAAATGACACACTACAGCACCACAACTGAGTGCATTGTATGCGTTTGTGGGGCAGTTACAGCACTGCAACTTTCTCTTGAATGGGACACATTTGAAAGGGCAGTAGTGCCGTCCAATGCAACAGGGTGTACAATACCTTTACAGGTTAGGCGGTGGTAAAAATGAGTCTTGGCCACATGTTTTTACTGCTCCCTCAACTACAAACGTAAATGAGCGTTAAATGACAACTAAGGTGCTTTTAAGTCCTTTCAGCAATGTTTAAACTAATTGCCACCAGTTTCTTCAGTGTAACCCTCTCAGTAAGTCTTAAAACACTCTTCTCTTGATCATCTCCCTAACTTTCTGATCAAAGCCACCTGACATTTAAAGCTGAACTCCAGCCACCCAATATTTTTTTACATGCACTGTAAAATTAAATGCACACTAATGAAGTCAAAGTCAGAATTGTACATAACATTACAGCCTAGACACATTGTACACCCTTCATTAGTGTGGATTTATTACAATGCACATGTTAAAACAGTTTTTGGCCATAGCACAGCTTTAAACACCCCTTTACAAAAGTTGTGTTCATGTTCATTTGTTTCTGAATTGCTTTCATTTCTCATACAAGGCAATGTGAATGCAAAAACCAATATATAAAAATTAAAATATATTTAGAAGCAACTCAACTGAAGCCTGGAGGAAATCATAAGCCAATCATATATACCTTATAATTAAGTCATAGCAAACAAGCAACAAAACACCAAGCTGCATTCAACATGCTCTAGGTATGAAGCTGTTATAGATTCTGTATATAGCCCTACAGAACAGACAGTCCACAGTCCACATTTGTTTATCTGCTGCTTCTCTGCAAACAGGAAACAGGAACTTTTATTCAAGAGAAAGATATAGAGTATATTCATGTATGCAGCTACAAACTTATGTACACTGCCATCTACTGGTTGAATAATATATATCTACTTAAAGGATGTACAATAGTTGTTGCACTAAAATACATGAACAATATAGACTTTAGGACAGGTAGCTGAGAGCAATGTAAATGATAGGAAGTGCACAAGCTTTCAGGCAATATATATTTAAAATGGAACACCAGCCATGTCACCCCAAGCTCCCATATTTCATTTCCATACTCCCAATCCCAGTCCCCTCGCATACTACAAGCGTATTTCAAAACAAAGCCTTGAAATTCATATGGGGGTTCCAAAGACCCAGGATTTCTTGCCAGATTCACTGCAAAGCCAAACCAAGGGGTGGCCTGGGCTGGGCATCTCACATCTGGACAGCTACTACTTTTGCACCAAAAAAAACAATATACTCCCTTTTTCTTGCATTATCCAATGTTCCTCTCTGGCTGAACCTTGAGACCTACTCTACTGCCCCAATTAATACTGCCAATGTCCTCCCAGTACAAACAGCCTCTTTCAATTCGCATCACTGTCAGGCATTCTCTAAAGATTATAAAGTGTAAGCTGCTAATACATTTAACACTGTCCTCCTCCCCCCCCCCCCCAAACCTACAATGCAATGCTGCTGTTTTCTGTGTCCTGTGCTCATTCCACAGTGGTGTCTCACTAGTACAGAAGGTGTGTTGCTTGGCACCAGGTGAAAACAGAAGGGAAAAATCCAAAGGAAAGAAAACGGATGCAGCTACTACATCTTATGATTGGTAAGCTGCAATAAAAAACATTTTTGGTTTTGGGTTTAATACTACTTTAATATTTTGGGGACCTGGAGAACAAGATTCTGTATATTATCTCTGCCATCACTGATCATAACACAGCACATTCTCTCAAATGACAGTGGATTTATCTTGAATGCTCTGAACAGTTTTTAAAATGCAAATGTAAAATTTAACTAGAAAGTCCTTTATATTATATTTGGGTCATTGGTTCTTCTGTTTTTCTGTTTTTTTAAACAGCTTGCAATTTTTTTATTGCTTCAGAATTTTCCATTTCTGTGAATTTGCTCTTAGCGTCCATATGATTTTCAGAAACATAAAGTGGTAATAATGATTGGTACTCCTGGGCTTCCACAGCTGAGCTCCAGATCATGACCTATGTGTCTGCATTTCTTTTCTAAATATACAAAATGTATATTTCAATAGGACCACAGAATGCATTAACACACATTATGTTATTTTCATCAAACAAACCTTTGGGGACCAAACTATGGTCAATGGGAGTAGAAAATACCCCAGCGTCAGCAGGAGTAAACAATGCCTCAGGCTTGGTGGTTAGTAGGGGTAAAAAAATAAAATAATGCCTGTGGTCAGTAGGATGTAGAATAGTGCCCTATCATTATTATTAATGGAAGAAATGGGTATCAGTGGGGTGCCCAATTGTTGATTTCAGTGCACAGAATCGTGCCCCATCGTTTGGTGTGAGTGGGTGGAGTGGTGCCTGATTGTTGGTATCAGTTGATATCAGTGGGAGGAATAGTGCTCCATTACTGGCATCAATAGAAGGAATGATGCCCCACTGTTGGTGTCAGTGGACTCCAGTGGGTTGAATGGCCAAGCCACAAGCTGGTCTTACTCAAGTTCTACATGCTTAAATACAGAACTTGATTAAACCGTGTTTTTATAGATCTGCCTGCAATTTAAACTTAATAGCAAATTTTAAGGAGTAGATTAAGTGTTAAAGTCCAACTCCAGGATATTAGCAACCTCCTTCTCACCTCCTCTAACTTCCAGTATAAAGAAGGAAAAACACCTATCCAAATATCTATTTGAAATAACCAAACGTACATTGCCTGAGTGATGTGGACATCTTCTATTGGTGGAGGAGACACTTCCAGTGACCAGGTCGTCTCATATAAGCTACAGAGGCAGGAGAACGGACGGAAGTGGAAAGGGGACCGGTACCC